GATGGTGCACGGGTGCCTTGGGGCAGGAGACTCTAAGGGGACTACACCTGAGGGGGTGGGGGGAAGCAAATATTGTTTAAAAATGAACAATGATGTAAAAAATTAAAAATTAACATTAAAAATAAAAATACATATCCTAAATTAAAAAAAATTAAAATAACCAGGCAAGTGGCCCTATCTGACCCAGCCCCTCTGTGCCTTTAGAATAGCAGCTTTCATCCATTCACATTGAGGGCGGCTGCTGACACGCGAAGGCCTGCTGCTGCCATCTTGCCGTTAGCTTTCTGGGTCTGCCTATTCCTCGTTCAGTCCTCTGTGAACATTCTTCTCTTTGATTTAGACACAAGCGCTCCTTTGCCCATTTCTTATGGGAGAGGTCTAGGGTTTGCAAACTCCTTCAGCTTCTGTTTGTCTGAGAAGGACTTTATATCTTCCTATATTTGAAGGAGGGCCTTGCAGGACATTGGCTGGCAGTGGTTAAGTATCTTGATCATATTCCATTGTCTCAAGCCCAGTGTTTCTGCAGAGAAGGCAGGAGTGAGCCTGATAGGTTATCTGCTTCTTCCTCTTAGCCAGCTCCAACATTCTTGTCCTGGACTCTTGGAAGTTTCACTACTATGTCGCTGGTCAAGGTCTCATCACATTTCAGTAACCAGGTGTTCTCCTGGCCTTCAAGCACTTGTATTTTTAGTTCCTTCTCCAGGTGTGGAAAGTTTTCCTCTATTAGTTCTTTAAATAAGTTTTGTGTTTTTGTTGCTCTTTCCCTGCCCCCCTTTGGGATGCCCATTATTCTATATTGTCTTTCCTTGTGGAGTCAAATAATTCTGAAAGTATTTGTTCATCTTTTTTTCTTTGTATTTCTCTTTCTTCTCTCACTTGGATTCTTTGCGCATTATTGCCTTTGAGGTCAATGATCTTCCATTTGGTCAGTTCTGCTTCCACAGCTCTCCCCAATTCTTTTTTTTTTTTTTTAAAAAAGATTTATTTATTTGTTTGTTTATTTATACAAGCACTGGGCACAGTCGGAGCGCGGGAGGGTGAGAGAATTCACCAGAGCCAGAGCGGGGAGCAGAGCAGGCAGAAGGACCGAAGTACACTGCTGAGGGGAGCAGCGGGCGGCAGGAGAGGTCTGCGCGCCATGTGGGACCCTCCTCCGGTGGCCGGGGAGCAGCCGGGGATAGAACCGGTGCCGCTGAGGCCGAGGGCAGCTTCGCAACCCAGCGCTCAACCGCTGTGCCACCGGGGAGGCCCTCTCCCCAATTCTTTATCTCCTCTTTTGACCTTTTCATGCCCTGGAACTCGGCGCCGTCATTTTCTCATTTCCAGCTTCAATTTCGATCTGTTTGTTAATTTTATTTCTCAGGATATTCTATTGTTTTTCTGAGTCTCCTTTTATATCTTTGATTGCCTTTTTGTGTTTTCTTGCGTTTCTTTGAATTTCTTTGTCAAGGAAATTCTGAACTTTGATCTGATAGGAGGAGACATGTGTATCTTCAGGAATGTGTTGATTTCTGCAGATCTGTTCTCTCTGTGTGATGAAGTAGCCCCCTGAGGATGCAAAGTGTCATTTGTTGAATTTTCCCATCTTCCTATGATTGACTTTTTTTTTTTTAAAGGGAGATTTCTTTTTTTTTTTTTTTTTAGATTTTTTTCTTTTTTTCTTTTTTTATACAAGCACTGGGTACAGACAGAAGCGAAGGAGGATGAGAGAATTCACCAGAGCCAGAGTGGGGAGCAGAACAGGCAGACTGATGAAATATACCGCTGAGGGGAGCAGCGGGCGGCAGGAGAGGTCTGCGTGCCATGTGGGACTCTCACCAGTGGCCAGCGATTGAACTGGCGCTGCAGAGGCTGCACGGGCAGCTTCGCAGCCCAGTGCTCAACTGCTGCACCACCAGGGGAGGCCCTTCCTATGATTGACTTTTCAGGTTATTTTGTGTGCTGTGTCTTTTTTTTTTTTTTTTTTTATAACAAGTGTTGGTTGTACTCATTAGTTTTTTTTTTTTTTAAAGATTTATTTATGCATATAGGAACTAGGGTGCAGGCCAGAGGTGTGGGGATGAGAGGATTCACCAGAGACAGAGTAGGGAGCAGAATAGGCAGATCTGCTGAAATACACTGCTGAGGGGAGCAGCGGGCAAGACAGGAGAGGTCTGCCGTACCATGTGAGTGAGTAGCTCCCTGGCCTGGTATTGAACTCGTGCTGCAGTGGCTGTGGACAGCTTCATAGTGCTGAGACTTAACTCCCTGTGCCCCAGGGAGGCCCCTTGTGTGCTGTGTCAGGGAGATTGTGTGTATTTCGGGGAGAACTAGTCTGTAGCCGCTGCTTCTGTGGGTGGAGCAGGGGCTGGTGGTGTGTAGGGAGATGGTATAGGGGCAGGATGACACAGGGCAGGTTTTCTGTGATCCGAGCAGACGGGGTAAAGGAGGAGTCCTGGAGCCCTCAGTGGCTTTTTAGGCTTTTATTGGGATTTTCCTGGGTACACAGCAGGCAGGGGTGCTGGGGTGAAGGCCTCCCAGCCCCAGCAGGTCTTCACTCTTTCTTATAGGAAGAGACATGTGTTCTCTGGTGGTCTCTGCTTCTCTTTCGCTCTCTCTTGCTCTTTTTGCTCTCCTGGCATCCCTATGACGCCGCCCTTAAAAGCCAAGTCTTAGCCCAGGTGAATCCCATCTAATACACCCACACCCCACTCCAGGTGCCGCCATCAGGCATGCATTAGGGGCGGCAGGGTTCTGTCATCTATCCTAATGGCGGAAGGGCAGAAACGCCTGATACTTTTACCTTACCCTACACAGGCCCAGCAGCAAAGTGCCCAGGCCACCACCACCACTGCTTCAGATTAGTCTCCCAGGATCGCCTGACACCATCTTCCCGTCTCCCATAATCCAACACGTCATTTTCACCCGTGAGTCCCTTCTATCCGATCGAAAGATGGAACCAACAGGAAACAACTGATAATATATAAAGTTTTAAAATAGGTCTTGTGTTGGCTAATTTTGCTTTTTTATTTGAAATTTCACAAAGAGTCTCATGAGAAAAGATATTGGGAGGAAGGGGCTAAAGGGAAGAAGGCTGAGAACAAAAGAATAAACATCCAAAAAAAAAAGCTTCAAGAAGGCCCCACCCTAGGCGGGCATAGGAGTGTCGGTCACGGGTTGATTCTCCACAGACAGGCAGCAAACTCGGCCACGTGAACATCGCCCAGCCTGGACTTCTGATTCGATGCAAAATTCCTGGCAGGCGCTAGTTGGATGCTCACAGGCCTCCTTGAAGCTGCCGCTGGCTGCAGAGGGAAGAGGGTCACGCTAAGGCCTGTTGGCCCACCTGGCTTCTTGAGAATGAGCAGGGGAAGCGCCTGGCAGCAACCTTGGGTGCGCGTCCTTGGTGAGGTCGTTTGATTCCTTAAACCAACACTTAAAAACCTGCTTTAACATAGAATGGTGGGTTTGGGCACTCTTGAGACACCTGGCAAACTCGGGGTACTTCAGTGACAAAAGGCGGAGCTGGGCGGCCCCGCCCTCCCTCAGAGCTCTGGGCTCAGCGGCGCAGACTTCTCCTGCTTGCTCCTCCGCACGGGCGGTGAGGACGCAACATCAGCTCCAGCGTCTGGAGCTGCTGGTTTTCCAAGTGGAATCTCTCTGCAAAGACCCGTGCAGATGGAGGGAGACAACCCCCCCTCCCTCCCTCCCTCGCTCTCTCAGAGATGGACTTGATGGGCCCGAGAAGGCGACCTACTTGAGAAACTGTTAAATGTCTGATAAAAATAGGGTAATTTTCTGGGGCAGAGACAAGTGACTGTGCCAATGGGGTGCCCGCCAGGGATCTGCCAGCGGACGCCGCCCCCGCTCCCCGTCTCCCAGGCCCGGGACCTGAGCTGGTGGTTCTGCTCTGGAGATCACCGCCTCCGTATTTGTGTAGAAACTGCACTCTTTGACTGGAGCCTCACCGATCCTGCTCTGAGGTGAGCCACACACAACGAGCTGCGCTTTCACAAGCGGTTCAGTTCCGAGGATGTCCAGAGCCACCTGAGGTGCCGCCTGCCTGCTGACAAGCAGACCTTGCGATGCAGGATGCAGGAAGCCTGTGCTCACCGAGGACACGCCTCCCCCTTGATTTTCTGCTGCAAAATGTGCTAATTGTCTTCTTACAGGCTACGCAGAGCCTAGCACGCCCCAGCCCCTTAAATACCCGCGGGGGCTCCTCACAGGCACGCGCCACGACTCACGCGCCCTCCGCCCAAGCCGAGGCCCTGCCACCTCAGGAAGAGGTTTCTCCCGACGCAGAGCACGGAGCTGCTCATCCCTCCCTGAGCCTCACATCCAGGAGCTCTAGGAACTTCCCCGATCCATTTGGGGGTCTGGGCACTTCCAGGCTGGGGCTCCCACCGGGACGGGGCCTGTGGGCTGAGCGCGGGAGCACAGAGCCCCGGCAGCGTCCCCTCCGACCCCTGTGCGGGCGGCCGTGAGCAGGCGGGGAAGCCAGAGGCTGGGCTGGACCCTGAAGGGGCAGACTCAAGCCCAGGGGAGCGAAGGCCTAAGGGGCAGTGTCCCGAGCTGTCAGTCTCTGAGACGCACGGCAGAGCTTCCAGGGAGACCCCCGGCCCTCCCTCCTGCCCGGGCCTGTCTGGCTTCGGCCACCCCCACGCAGTGTCTCAGGACAGCTCACTCGTGCTGCACCAGGCGAGGACTTTTGGAGACCAAGACTTAGTCCTAGACCAATGCCGATTCTGCTATCTGGATGTGGGCACATAGTAACCTCGCCTCGTTAAATCCTCCTGAGTGCTGGAGTCAGGGGGTTTGGACGCTGGAAACAATCTGAGGTCACGCCGTCTGACTGGGCCAGGAGACCCGGGAGGCAGGTGCCCAGCCCGGCCCGGCCTCCCTGGTCTCCTGTGAGCGCCTGCTTGGCCTGGGGCTGGTGGTTCTGCTCCAGCGCTGCTCCCCCTGGGGTGTCGGGCCTTCTGCCCTCAGCAGGGCCTCAGCACAGGGGAGGCTGTTACCTGGTGGGGCTCGGCTCATAAAGGAGAGAATGGCAACGAGGAGGACAGCACTCCTCATGGCTGATGAGGGGCGCGGGCTTGGCTCCACTTCCCAGCAGCAGAGACACTTCCGTCTGCGTCCCTGGCACCCGCGGAACGTCTTTGTCTGGAGCGGCAGGGCCTCTCTGTACCTCGTTAGTGGTCTCTGCGGGCACAGGCCGGCCTTCCCGAGGCGACTGGGGGCCCTGGGTGTGCAGAACACGCCATTTGTTATAAGGACGTGGGCCCAGTTTTGATCAGAGAACCTTGTCAAATGGGAACAGAAGCTTCAGCGTTTCGCTAGGAGGGTCAAGCTGAGCACAAGGAGCGACAGGAGTTAGCACGTCAGGCCCCTTGGGAAGCCGGCCGGTTCACTCCGTGACCAGACGTCTCCCAGGGCATGCGCCCTGGCTTTCCTGGGAGCCCCGGCCTCCTCAGTGCTCGCTTCTCCCGGCTGCTTGGGTTGGGGAGAGCAGCAGCTGCGACCCCCTCCGGCTCAGAGTTTTTCAAAATGGACGACCTCCGGGGCTGGGGGCTAGACCCACTGTTTCCTACTTGGATGGCAGGGACAGCCTGGGCCCGCCGGTGCTGGCTCTCAGTCTTCCAAGTCCACTTTCCAGGGTGGGAGCCGCCACTGCTCGCGCAGGGTGCCCCAGAGGGCGCCTGGGACGCCTCGGGTTTGCAGATATTCCCATCACGCACGGGGGGCTGATGGCAACTTGAGCAAAGGAATTTTCTACATCTTCCGGGGGTGGGGAGGCCTCACTGCCACTGGGTCACCTCTGCTCTTCAGAAAACCGCGCTCCATGGACACCGGAGGGTGCACCGAGCCCAGACGTCCGGCCAGAGCCAGGCAAACAACATGTCTGGTCAAAGATCCGCCCCCAATCCCGATTATTTTCAGAATTCCCCCCGCTGCAAACTAAGACGGAACCAACAGGAATCAGTGATAATAATAAAAAGTTTTAACATGGGCTTTGTGTTGGCTGATTTTGCTGTGTATTTATTAGGGACTCAGGAAGAGCCCTGGCAGGAAAATGAGGCCGTAACTAAAAAGAGCTCGCGTGGAAGACATCCAGAAGCGGTTTCCCAGCGGCCTCAGCACTCGCCGGGTGTGGTGTTGTCGACGAGCGGCTGGTTCCCCATGGGCAGGCAGCAAGGCCGGCCATTTAAGCATCTCCCAGCTTGCACCTCGGACTCGATGCAGAATTCCCGGCAGGCGCCATTCGGACGCTCGCAAATCTCCCAGAAGCTGCTGCTGGCTGCGGAGAAGAGGGCTGCCCTGTTAGTCCCTGGCGCTTTACTGAAGTCCATGAAGTCTCTGGAAACTATCCTGTGTGGGTTTCCTTTCTTTTCTTCGTTATCTGATTTCTTAAGCCAAGACATAAATAGCAGATTTACATAAAAGTTTGGCATTTGGCATTCTTGAAAATTCTGGCAATACTGGGTGCACCTCAGTAGCCAGAGCCTGGAACTGAGCGGGCCCGGCCCTCTCCAAGTTCTAGGCCATACACCTCTAGCTTATCCTGATTTTTTGTTTGTATGTTTTGCGTAGAGGAACTGGGGTGTAAGCCAGAGGGATGGGAGGTGAGAGGACTCACCAGAGACAGAATGGGGAGCAAATAGGCGGATCTACTGAAATATACCGCTGAGAGGTGCAGCAGGGAGACAGGAGGGGGGCTGCGCCCTGTGGGTCAGCTCCCTAGTTGGGATGGAAGTCAGGCTGCTGTGGTGATAGCACAGAGACTTAACCCCTAGGCCACCAGGGAGGCCCCCTTATCCTGAGTTTCCTCCCTCATTGGCACCTGCTGCAATGCAGACAACAGTTCTCATTTACTGTCACAGCCTGTGCTGCTACAGTGGAAGAGGCTTCTCAGAGCTGTGAAATATCCCTTCCTGTGCATGTGTGCGCTGGCTCACTCAGAAATGGAACTTCTCAAATGTAGATAGAAAAGACAACAGACTTCAGGAAATTTTTAGAGAGCACGACATCTTGGAAGCCAAAGGAATCTTGTTATTTCTCTCTGCCTGCATTGCAGTAAAGGCTTCCCAGTCAATGCTTCCCGAATCTCTGATAAACTGAATTGGCCCCCCTCTCCAGTCCCGCCCCTCCACTTCCTCTACACCAGTTCTCCTGGAGCCAAGCTGGAACTGCCATACAAGCCACACACACTCCGCACACTGAAGTGCTATCTGCCTGCTCACAACAAGCAGACCTTTAAAACAGATTTATGCAGGAAAACCTGTGCTCACCGAGGACACGCCTCCCCCTTGATTTTCTGCTGCAAAATGTGCTAATTGTCTTCTTACAGGCTACGCAGAGCCTAGCACGCCCCAGCCCCTTAAATACCCGCGGGGGCTCCTCACAGGCACTCACCACGACTCACGCGCCCTCGGCCCAAGCCAAAGCCCTGCCACCTCAGGAAGAGGTTTCTCCCGACGCAGAGCACGGAGCTGCTCATCCCTCCCTGAGCCACACATCCAGGAGCTCTAGGAACTTTCCCGATCCATTTGGGGGTCTGGTTACTTCCAGGCTGGGGCTCCCACCGGGACGGGGCCTGTGGGCTGAGCGCGGGAGCACAGAGCCCCGGCAGCGTCCCCTCCGACCCCCGTGCAGGCGGCCGTGAGCAGGCGGGGAAGCCAGAAGCTGGGCTGGACCCTGAAGGGGCAGACTCAAGCCCAGGGGAGCGAAGGCCTAAGGGGCAGTGTCCCGAGCTGTCAGTCTCTGAGACGCACGGCAGAGCTTCCAGGGAGACCCCCGGCCCTCCCTCCTGCCCGGGCCTGTCTGGCTTCGGCCACCCCCACGCAGTGTCTCAGGACAGCTCACTCGTGCTGCACCAGGCGAGGACTTTTGGAGACCAAGACTTAGTCCTAGACCAATGCCAATTCTGCTATCTGGATGTGGGCACATAGTAACCTCGCCTCATTAAATCCTCCTGAGTGCTGGAGTCAGGGGGTTTGGACGCTGGAAACAATCTGAGGTCACGCCGTCTGACTGGGCCAGGAGACCCGGGAGGCAGGTGCCCGGCCCGGCCCGGCCTCCCTGGTCTCCTGTGAGCGCCTGCTTGGCCTGGGGCTGGTGGTTCTGCTCCAGCGCTGCTCCCCCTGGGGTGTCAGGCCTTCTGCCCTCAGCAGGGCCTCAGCACAGGGGAGGCTGTTACCTGGTGGGGCTCGGCTCATAAAGGAGAGAATGGCAACGAGGAGGACAGCACTCCTCATGGCTGATGACGGGCGCGGGCTTGGCTCCACTTCCCAGCAGCAGAGACACTTCCGTCTGCGTCCCTGGCACCCGCGGAACGTCTTTGTCTGGAGCGGCAGGGCCTCTCTGTACCTCGTTAGTGGTCTCTGCGGGCACAGGCCGGCCTTCCCGAGGCGACTGGGGGCCCTGGGTGTGCAGAACACGCCATTTGTTATAAGGACGTGGGCCCAGTTTTGATCAGAGAACCTTGTCAAATGGGAACAGAAACTTCAGGGTTTTGCCAGAAGATTCAAACTGATGCACAGAAGCAACTGAAGCTAGCACGTCAGGCCCCTGGGGAAGCCGGCCGGTTCACTCCGTGACCAGAGGTCACCCAGGGCATGCTCCCTGGCCTTGCTGGCCACCCCAAGAAACCAAGGCCCGGCTCAGCCCTGCTCTTACATGCCCCAGCTCCACCTGGGCCACCTCCTGCAAGGGGTGAAGCAGGGTGCGCCCCAGCTCCTGGGCCTTCCATCATGCAGTTGTGGGAATTGGTGAGCTTGGAGAGCAGGGTCCTTGAGGTCACTCTGGGAAAGGTGTCGCCAGAGCTCCCGTTTCAGCAGCACGTGGCGAGCTCCCCAGGAGAGTTTCACGAGACAGACGTGAGTTCTATTTAAAGGACAGGTTTATTAGGGAAAGGGGCAGGTTTTGCTAAGAGAGGCCTGCAGGGATGCAGGCTGGCGGCCTTGAGGAGCGCGGCCTCCGCTGCGGGAGGCCAGTGACGAGGAGCCCCTGCAGGCACAGGTCACCGGCGGGCAGGCGGCTGCTGCCCTGCAGAGGGAGAGGGCGGGGCACAGAGGCTCCCGCACACTCACAGGCGGGCAGAGGGAGCGCCGCCCGAGCCTGTGCAGAGGCCACGCCACGGTCCTCCTCCCGTGGGCGGGTCACGCCTCCGCGGCGCGGCGGCCTGTGGCTGGCGTTGGGGACCAGGAGGGGCCCGATTCCGGGGTGCGCCCGGCCTCCGTGTCTCCCCCTCGGGCTGCGCTCCCCTCCCCAGAGCCTCCGGGCCTGCCGGGGCCTCTCGCCCGGGACACGGCGCCGGCGCCCGCGGGCCCCCTCGGCCGGGTTAACGGCACGTTACGCCCCTCGAGCCGCCCCCGCGTGCCGGGGCCACGCCGTCCCCGCCCGCTGCCGTCCTCCTCCAGCACCCCGGCTTTCTAGTCTTTCCTCCATCACCTCCGGCCGCGGCACAGGCGAGGAACGAAGCGGGAGCGCCCCGGCCGGCCGCGCCCGCCCGGGACTCCGACCCCGCTACCCGCCGCCACGCGCCTCCAGCCCCGGGGGCGCGGCCCGCGCGGACGCACACGCCGTGACGCACTTCCGGGCGCCGGCGGCCACGCCCCGGAAGGGAGGGGCTAGGCCCCGCCCTCAGGCCGCCCGTTTCCCGCCGGCCCGGAAGCAGTTTCGCGCGGCGCCGGCCGGGCCGAGCGGGTGTCGGTGTTTCCGGCTCCCGCGTGCACGTGGGTGCCGCGCGCCGGCCCCGCTCGCGGGCGCCCGCCCGTCAGGAGCCGCGTCCCTTCCGGTAAAGTCGCTCCGGCGCGGGCCCCGCCCAGCGGCCCTGCCCAGGCCTCCCGCCCCCGCCCCTCGTCCGCGCCGCGGGCCCCATCGGGGCGCCCCGCCCCGCCCCGCCTCCGGGAGGCGCCAGCCCCGGCCGCGCCCGAGCCCCGCCGCCGGCGTCGTTCTGGGCGCGGCCCGGGCCCCCGAGCCCCCGCCCGCGCCGCAGGGGAGCCCCGAGGGCGGCGCCCGCGCCCTGGCCGGCACCCGCGTTCTCGCGCCGGGCTCGGCCGGCACCGGCGGCCGCCGCGGGTGGAAGCGCCGCTCCCCGCTGTGCCGCGCCGCGCGCCGGGGGGGGGGGGGCAGAGCCCGAGAGAAAAGGGGGGGTGGGTCGGGGGCCCGGCGGCGGCGGGTGGGTGAAAATGGACGAGAAGCGGCCGGCGGAGCGGGAGGAGGCGGCTGCCCGCAGGCCCACACCCGCGCGCGGGCCGCGTCTCCGCGGGACACCGGGGAGGCTCCCGCCGCGCGCCTGCCCCGGCGCCCCCTCATCTCCCGCGGCGTGTGGGTCTCCGCGCCTGCCGCCCTGCCCGGCGCGCTCGGTGGGCGTCGGGGGGCTGCTCGCCCCTGTTTCTCAATAGGAGGTTTCGTCCGTCGGGTACAGGGCAGCCCCGATAGGAAACGGGGTGCCTGGCTGCGGGTCCCCACCCGCGCGCTGGAAAGGACTTCTCAGTGCTCCACCGCAGGCGACCGCGAAGGTCAAGAAAAGGTTTCTTCACAAGGGAAGGGGACATGAGGACATGCACAGCTCAGGGAGAAGAGTGGGAGACACAGTTTTAACCCTTTGCACCCCGCCGGCCCCTCTCAGGGGACATCGGAATTCCAGCGTATCACTCAGATGTCCCCTCTCAGGGGACACTGCAATTTATTACTGATTACGGGGAATTGAGGTTATTTCAACACAACTTTTTGAGACATGCATGTTTCCCTGAAGTTTTATCATGAAATGGCACAAGAAATTAAATCAAAATATCGTAAAATGGTTTGAAGTGCATTAAATGAGTCCTACCCGATCCCCGATCTGGACTCCCAAATGGTGCTCTGAGAGCTGGCGGCGAGCCAGGAGCCGTGAAGCCAGGAGGCGAGCGACAGAGCGAGAGACCCCAAGGCCCACGTGTTTGGTTTTTATACCCAACCTGGCTGCCCAACTCCACCCTCAGGTCCCAGCCACCCTCCCTTTGGTGGTGACGGGGTTTGTCTTTCCCAATGTCCTGATGGCTTTGGTCTGGAGTGGGGGTGGGGTCCACAAAGCCTGTATGGGATTAGCGCAGGACATCCTTTCCCCCTAACACATCCTTGTCACAAATGGTTTGTGCGCGGGGCGTTCCGCGCTCTAAAGACAGACGTTTCGCTTTCTGAAGAGCCGTAGACGTGCTGTTTGAACATCGTGACAGGTTGCATTTGGATTTATGATCCATGTATTGATTTTTACAAAATCAATGAAAAAGAATTAAAAAGAATTATTTTGGTTTTATCCTTTCTTCACCATAACTATTTTCTTGTCCTCTCGCCCTTGCCTTCCAACCTGCGTTAGTAGCATGTGAGAGGCAAGAGGGCGAGACTGGTTGTCACCTCGTAGAGTGCAGCATTCTTAATATCCTGAAGAGCTTCCTAGTTCGTCATGGATTCGAAAGAGATTTTTCTAGAGTGAAGTTTTGAAAGGAAAGGCAGGTCCGTGAATGGATATAGAGATGTCATTTCACCGACAGGTCTTTGCAAGAGCATGACGTGGCATGGATCCCTAATGTGCACTCCCCAATAGGCTGGATCGCCTGGGTAGCACTGGGAAATTGTAATGGTGAGGAATGCCCTAAAAATATCAAGGTGATGTTGAGGAAACAGTGACTTCTTCCTGGGGCTCTCTGAGAGATTTGGCAGGAGAGGCCAAGCTCAGCCATCATTTACCGAGTCACGGACACGCGTCACTTCCTGCTGTGGTCTTGTTTTACAGTGTGTACGCACAACTCTGTTTTGTAAAATACATTTAATCTCCATGTCGTGAGAGTTTCTATTGAGTCCTCCGAAGAGTTCAGTATGGAGCGGTTGTTTTGATTGAATTGTCATAACTCTAGTTTTTTGTCCCTGGTACATTCTCTGTGTGGCCAGTTAAAGTGTTATTTCATCTGTAGGTCGTACTTAGCACCCATCTTCCCTAAGCCCACCCCTTGTAGTATTTGAGGAACTTACTCCTTTACACAGTCCTATCACAGCGGTTCCCCAAGCTTTTCTAGGCATGCTCCATTATCACATTTGGTTGAATGAATATTGTCTTATGTTTGCTTGAGTTTTTACCATGATCCTCAAATTGTTCTTCCTTTTTCAATGATAGACTGTGAAGAGGGGACTTGTATTTTTCATTGTCTTGCATGTTTTTCCAAGCTGAGTTTTCAGAAATTCACAATTTTCTTTTCTCAAATGTTTTAGTACTTGAATTAAATCATAAAGTTATTGGCGTATTGTTTTCCTTTGTTATCTTTGACAAAGCTTTCATAGCTTTCAATTTGTCTAATCCTTTCAGTGGTTTTTACCTAATCCTTTTTCCTCTTGCTCATGTTAAACCCTGTGCATAAACGCGCGGCTTCTAGGCACTGTCCATCTGCCTTCCCTCTGTCCCCGGGGTGCTCTCTTCTCTGAAAGGGCTTGATTTTTGCATTTGGAAGTTCTGGGGTTCTGCCAAGATGTTTTTCCTTCTTTTTTCTTATCATCTCTCACTTTCATTCTTGTAATTCTCCCTTGAAGTCTTATTAAAGTACTTAATGGTAACCCTCCCATTACCAAAATTACTGGATAATTTTTAAATGTTTCAAGGCGAAGGATTCCTAGAATAGTAATATTTAATTTTTTACTCCTACCACTTCTACACTTTAGCCTTTTAAAATAGTTCATGTGCTGTTATTTAAGTGATGGCAGCGGCTTGGGGAGAGCGGCAGGGCGGAGCTGGGGCGCGGCATTACACTGTGAATGCAGCACATCTGTGTGTGCGGGGCCCCGGCTGCGACTGCTGGTAACTGAAGAAAAGACCAGCACTGCAGCCGAGTTCTCAGCGTTCACGGCTGCCTTGGAGGCTTGGACGCGTGCCCAAACACACCTGTCCCTGGGCACCACCGACCCGCCCCTCGCAGGGCTGGCCTGTTTAGTATGTGTAGGGGTTCCCTGCTACCCCTATATTTCCCAGGAGAAAGTGATAAAATAATTTTCCATTTCAGTCTGATTCTGCCTGGGAGTCAAAGCCCACGACCAGTGCCTCATTACCCAGCTCTCCCCGCTCCTGGTGCACCCTGGGCATGCAGGGCACCTCAGTCTATAAGCCTTATTTATGGGGTGTCTCTTGGGGTGTTGTGATCTGTCCTGGATATCGGGTATTCAGATCCTTGCATTAATCAGGGGCTTCTCTTTTAGAGCTGACCGAAATCCCCGTCCCCCTGCTGAGTGCCTCACGGAGGACTTAAAAGCAGGTGCCCAGCACCCGGCTGCCCCCCGCCAGCGTCTGAACGACTTGACTCCCCTGTTCTTCGGATCCCTCAGCTCTCCCCACCAGGCAAGGAACCCAGATTCTTCAAGCCGGGACATCCTTCAGCTGGCGGAGAGACAAGCTTGGTTACCCGGGTAGCGCCCGCCTCTGGGATGCCGAGCACGCGCTCCTTCCTGCGCGCTGCCGGGAAGACTCGGCTCTCCAGGTGTGGCCTCACGTCCAGGGGGAGGGGCAGCCACTTAAAGCTCAGGGCAGAGGCCTGTGTTGGGGGGTGCTGAGCATAGGGCCCACCCTAAAAAGGGAAAATCCTGGTGTGGGCGTTCAGGCACAGCGCAGCAGGCCAGCCAGCTGGGCTCTGGCCCCGGGCTGTGGGGGAGGAGGGGTCGGAAGCAAAGCCTTGCGCTCTGGTCAGTTTTGGCGATACATGTCCGTTTTCTCCCTCACAGAGGTTGTAAGCAGTTGAACATGCTAGTCAAACACTCTGAACTACGGAGCTGTGTACCTGACACCTGCGGGTATGGATCCTGCTGGGGAAAGCGCGCGAGGTGTCCGGTGTACCCGGGATGGCAGTTCTCCCACAGATGCCTCACTGGGCTCTGTACGGGGGCATCGGTGATGGCTCGGTGGAGCACCGAGGCAGTCGTTTCCCCCGGCTCAGGTCTGGGTGTTGCAAAGGAGAGCCCTTATTCTGGGCATCGCCAGAGAGGCGTCGGGTCAGGGCTGCAGTCACTGAGCAGGGGAGGCCACCTGGTTTGAGGCATAAATGGTTCTGAACTCTTCCAGCTTCGGGGAGGGGAGTGTGAAGAGCTGTCACCCCTGACTGAATGCTAGTCGCATGCTTGCGGAAGCATAATCACCAGCTTCTAGAAGTGTCCTGCATTGGGAAGTCATGGCTCTTTGAGGAAAGCCACTTTGCTCCACTGCTCTTCCGGCACGAGCTTGCCCTGGACCCTGCCCTGCTTCAGTGACGGCAGGGGGCCATCTTGTCCGTGCTGACGGCTGTGTTTCCTGAGCGGGCAGCCATTCCCCTGGTGTTGGACAAGGGACTCGTGCGCGCCCCCTCTGAAGTTGGTAAAACTCCACAACCTATACCCGGTGAACTTCTCAGCAGGTGGGGTCCTGGGCCAGCATCTCCCGAGACAGCCAGCTATGGTCCAGCGCGAGCGGTCTCGCAGCCAGAGTGTCATCTCAGCTAGAAAAGATGGATCCCAGCAGCAACCGGGCTAAACATTTCTCTCACCACCGAAGACTTCCCTTTTACTTCTTACATCCTGTCTTTGCCTCAGCTGTCCTGATGCCACCCTCAAGCTCTTAGAAGTCCACTCCCAGGCCAGGGAAGGAATGGTGCCAAGCTTTTCTGCAGGAAGTGCTGCCACCTTTTGTGGTCACCTTCGGTTCCAGCCAGAACTCCTCCAAATGGTGGCAGCGATGATACCCAGTATCCCAGATGCTCCTCACTACCTTCCCTGCACACCCTGCGTCACCTCCAGCTGCCCTTCTCAGAGACATGAGAAGACCTAACTCGGGGTACACGGTCGGCACAGAGGCTTCGCAGCCAGACACGTGTCAGCCTGAAAACTAGTTCAAGCAGTTACGTGCTGTAATGTTTCCGCTGTCACGCTCGTCCTGTGGAGGCTGGCTTCGCCCGACAAGCGGAGATAATGACGGTGGACTTAGGAGGCCTGAATAAGTGGCAAGATTCTGAGTCAATACTCTGTCACCTCCTGTGTGACCGACGTGGATGGCATCTTTGTGACAATTTCTTTGACCCTCTGTAAGAATTACCCATATTTTGAGACCGGGCAGGGATGGAAGAGATCCAGAATGGACACCTTGGCTGGTCGAGGCCTTCTGGGATAGGGACCATGAAGCTAATAATGACTGTCTCTGGGGAGATGGGTTTGGTGTTGTATAAATATTTTCAGGTTGTTGTAAATGGTTTTTCATATTAAACAAGTACTTTTTTAAACAAACGTTTTAGAAGTCATAAAATAGGCTATTTTAAAAGTAATGTTCTCAGTTGTAGGTGAAAACCCAAGATTCTGGGTGAGTAGTTAATGATGGACGACATTAGTATCATCTCAAGGCAGTGCTAATGGGGACCAGAAATGGTATTTTGTGGTCTTGTCGGGCGGCCCCCAGCAGCCTCGCGGGGGTGAGCGGGCTCTTGGAACAGGCCAGTAAGCCGGGACCTACAGTGTTCACTGACTTCTTTGTATCATGGCAAGATTCAAGCCATTCACAGACCTCCGGAATATTTTATAAACGATTCTTGGGATCCGGTACAGGCCAGCTCAAGTGTGACTCAAGAACTGAAGGGATGTAATAAGGGAATCAGCACCTCTCCTTTGCTGTCCCGGGGCAGGGAGTGAGGCGGAGCAGTGTCGCTGGTGCTCTGACTCACCTCTTGAGGGGCCACCTGACTGGGTGGCCCTTTGAGTGGACCTCTGCTTTCCATGCTCAGAGGACCAGCGGAGTGAACCCTCTGCCTCACGAAACAACCCTGTCGCCACGGCTCCATCTGCTTGGGAGTGAGGGGCTGAGGGTCACGGTAGAGCTCGGTGCTGGTGAAAAGCTCCCCTTATGGCAGGACCCAGAGATCTCGCTTGTGAAAGACGTTCTCCCGCAGGCATCATCCCTCTGCGCAGAGAAGGGGGTCCCGCGCTGGCTCAGTACTTTCACTCAGCACTGCTGCCGAGTGCTGGCACCCTGGGGTGGACGTCCCAGGTCAGGTGGCCGGAGCGATGCTGGTATCTGAGAAATCCCACAGTGTTTGCCTGTAGGTGGAAAACTTGCATATGCCAGGGATTGCTGTGCTTTGGAATCAGGGAGGAATTGAATATGCCGCAGTCACATAAAGTGCCATAGTTTTGAGGCTTTTATCCATAAGACACCTGTATTTAAATATTTTTCACTCGCAGCCATGGTCATGGCCTTCTCACTTTTGACTCCTGGAGAGGATAACCCTGTGGAGCTCTCCTAGAAGGCACTACAAGTCTGTTGGCGAGGGTGGCAGCACACCCAGAGGAAGGTTTGGGGCTTTGTGGCAGGTGCATCTGGAAAGTGCATGACACCGGAGGTCTTATGGTGTCTTTCTCCCTCCTCAGCTTTGCCGGCTTAGTGGTGGACTGTCTGTGAGCGGCAACCAGAGAGAAACAGTCGGCAACTGAGTCGCTGACGATGCAGTCACTGGTGAGTGGGGAGGCCATTTCCACTCAGGTCACACCCCACAGTGTGGACGGGCGGGGCTGCTTCTCCTGCTCACAGCGATGTTCTAAGTGTGGGCTTCAGGGATCCCAGCTGCAGGGGAGCTCCCCAGGAGACTGTGATGGTTGTAATGGACCAGGGGCGCCTCAGTAACTAATGTCCTTCCTGTGACACCGTGAATCCCTCCATGAAGGCTGTGTGTCTACAGAAGACAAGAGAAGTTTCTTTTGTCTAATTCATTGCATGGGCTCCCTGGGAGTAAGTTGCTCATTACTGTCATTTACTGTCACTGGTTTTCACGGCGTGCGGCTGTGCGGGTGCCCTCAGCAGAGGGGCACGAGGCCAGCACAGCACAGTAGGGGGCCGCGGGGCTACCAGGTGAGGCCAGTCAGTCCCATGTCACAGGTCAGGGGGACGGCTGGGAATTGCTTAGCACAAGAGACGTGTAGGCCAGAGAACGCAAGAGTAACCGCTCCTTCGTTTTTGCTAATTTAAATTTAGAGTTTTGATATATTTACCCTTTTGGAAACTTCCTAAAAGACAATTTAAATTCTCATTATATTTGTTCCTAATCATGCAGTTTACCTTTTTGTATTTAACTTTTTTAATAATAACTGGAATTACTGTGTAGGGAGAATTTTTCCCTTAATTCTGGCTGCACATTCAAGACAAAGAATAGAATAAAATTCTAGCTCCTTTGGAAATGTTTTCAAGAACTAGATAGCCCAAATCCAATCAAGAGACTTCTTTAATCTCTCAGCAGGGAGCCAGGATGGGGTGTGACACCTGGCGGTGGAGGCCCCAGAGAGAGACCAGGTGTCTGGTGTGAGCCTGTCCCAGGGCTGCCTGCCAGTGCAGGGGCCTCAGGGGCCCTGGTGTGTGCCGCTGACCTTCTCCTTTGGGAACACCTGAGTCCTGCAAAGTTGAGGGCAACTGCATGTACTGCTGCCAGGGTCTGTGAGCAGTTTCTTTTCTGAAGAATGCTGGCGACTGCTTTACGGTGATCAGATATTTTAATGAGTAGTAGACTAATGGCTTGCATTTATACGTGTTTACTTAGATAAGAAGAGCCTCATACCTCCAGTCATTGGATCTTTCAACACTTGTAGCAGGTTATTAAACCATTTCATAAATGAGGAAACAGGTTCATCTAGGGAAATGACGTGTAAGCACAGTTGTGGTTTAAAAGAGGCAAATATGGTTACTGTTTGCCTTGTGATGGAAAGTAGAGGGACTTGAAATTAAATCAGGAGAGTTATGAATTTTCAAGTATAAGTTTTATAACCACATATCTGGAAGTCATAATTACTAGTTATTTCAGAAGATGAAAAATTCCAGATTATATTGGGACACACCTCATAGGACACGCCTTCCCAATGACGTGATACTCGTTCAGACTGCGTGTCAGGGATGGCTCTGGAAGGCACGTGCAGGCTCGGCCCTGGGAATGAACTGATGTGGGCCCCAGACTCGGTTTGAGTTTTTTCTACACCTACTCCTCCATCCCCTTCCTCAGTGCTGTCATCCTCACCCTCCTACTCTGGATACTGGTAGGTACTGCTCTGTCTAATCCAGAATGTCCACATTTCAGGAATCAGTGACATTGGAAGATGTAGCTGTCGACTTCACCCGGGAAGAGTGGGCCCTGTTGGACCCGTGGCAGAGGCAGCTCTTCAGAGATGTGATGCTGGAAAATGTCAGTCATCTGGTCTCCATGGGTACGCGTCAGCACTCATATATGGATGCAGGCATCCAGGCAGCATCTAAAACAGCTTCCCAGGATACCACCCCGTCTCTGCCGATTGTTTTAGACTTCATAATGACATGAGGGAAAGTCGTTTGTTTTACTTACATCTAGTTTGTCACCCTGCTAGAATATTTACCCCAATTTAATGTCTTTCTTGTTAATGTCTGACACTCAGCAGAAATCAATGTTTTTTAATACATAAATTGATGAAATATTTTCTAGATAATTACTCTGCTGTAGTCACTATGCTGAGCCTTGACTAGCAAAAAATAATCCAACTTTGGTGATCCTTTGGAAGCTTATGTTCATTAGCTGTTCATCTTCTGTTTTCAAATAATACTCAATTCACTGAACACACTCAGTTTCTCTGCTTTTGAAGAGTAGGAGGCTACATTCTGTCTTGCCCTTGGGCACAGACATCGGCATCCAGAGGTCATCACTGCTTTGGATACAGCTGGGTTTCTTCCTGCTCCACTGCGGGACCGTCTCTGTCTTCTCTGTCCAAGCTGTTGCTGTCTGGGCTCTGAATCAGTGCTCTCTTTATTTTTTTCTAAGCAGTCTGTCCTGGCCTTGATGATCATGCATGTTTATCAGCATGGAACTCAAAACCTACCAATATTTACTTACTTCCCCCATGAACAGGGTATCAGCATTCCAAATCAGATCTAATTTTCCAGTTGGAGCAAGAAGAGCTGTGGAGTGAAGGAACAGGGTTTCTCCAAGGCCAGAGCCCAGGTAAGCAGCAGGAACCTACACCTCCGCAGGAGCCAGGCCAGTGCCTGACAACTGAGTTATCCTTAGAAATACCAACTGAAGATGTGACGGGGTGAGGGATACACTCTAAAGTGTATGTGAGGTACACTGGGGGGAACTTCTTCAGATGTCATTAGTCCTTGCCTGTATTAGTCACATTTCTCTGGCTTTAGGGAAAAGGGTATTCATGTATGTATTGAAGTTAAACTTTCACATAATAACTCTTATCCTGGTCCCTCCCTCACCCCCCCTTGAAGGTTTTCCCTATCATTACCAACCCGATAGCTCATCCCCATTTTAATTTTTCATATTTCAATGCTGAAAATCTTCGTCAGTGCCCTTAATGTGTTTCTACTTTCTAGAAAATTTCTTCATTTCTATTATTTGCCTTTTTGAAGTGTGAGTTTTTAGACTTATTAATGTCTTGGTACTTTTCAATGTTTTCATTCTCCTAAGGCCATTCTAAATTTTAATTTTAGGCAGGGAAAGTGCCCCTACAAAACCAACAACAATAGCCACACATCATATCAGCAGGAAGGATGCATCTACCATCAAGGCAATGGTAAGTTTCATGAGGAGTGACACTAATCATTCAAATTAGAGACATGGCAGTAGTATATTAATAAATGATTCTATTATCCGTATGTACATTAAGTTGAGATTTAACTCTCAGCAAAAAGTTTTGGATAGTTTGAGTTTAGTGAAAAAATTAATGAGCTCAGAATTATAACACGAGATCTTAAAAAAACATGGACAACTACATACTGTCCCTATGCCTAGTCTATGCCTAGTCTATGCCTAGTCTTTGAAACACATTGACGCCTTCAAAATCAGTCTACAAGCTGCAGTTAGGATGCTGCAAAAACGTGTGCAGAAGGGAAATGCAACTTGTTAGGAATTAACACTGGAAAGATTTTAATTGAAGGGCATCACTAAATGATTTTATATATATAGATATATATAAAATAATGAATGTATGGATGTATATGGAAAACCATTAATAGCCTTTCCTCTCCTTCCCAAAAGCAGATTCCCTTTGAATGTAACAGTATGGGAGATTCCCCTTATTGCGCCACACTGAACGAACATTTATCGGCTCCCACAGAAAAGAAACCCTGTATCAGAAAGCAGTGTCGGAAATCCCTTGGTGGCCAGCCATGCCTTCATCAGCACAAGCACATTCACAGTCAAGTTAAAGCCTGTGAATGCCATCTGTGCGGGAAAGCCTTCAGTAACTGCTCCAGTCTGAGACGGCACGAGATGACTCACACTGGAGAGAAACCTTACGAATGCCGTATCTGTGGGAATGCCTTCATTCAAAGCTCTGACCTTAGAAAGCACAATCTGACTCACACTGGAGAGAAACCGTATGAATGTCACCTGTGCGGGAAAGCCTTCAGTCAGTCCTCTAACCTCAGGCAGCATGCAAGAACGCACACTGGAGAACAACCGTATGGATGTCACCTGTGTGGGAAATCCTTCAGTAAGTGTTCTGCCCTTCGACGACACGAGAGAACTCACACTGGAGAGAAACCATATGAATGTCATCAGTGTGGAAAATCCTTCAGTCAGTGTTCTGCCCTTAGACGACACGAGGGAATCCACAATGGAGAGAAAATGAGTGCTTTTAGTGAATATTCTGACCTGAGATGACATACAATGATGATTCATTATATTTAGGAGACGTCAACTATAGCTTTAATGTTTAAACACACCAGAAGACTCATACATTGAAGGGATACTGCAACTGATGTGGAAGATCCTCTAGTCTTTCTAACTTGACATATGCACATGTATGTGGCCTTGAATACACACGTATGACATCAAAACCTTCAGTCATTGGCCTGACCTTCGATGACCCGAGAGAACTCCTACTGTACATAGAAAGAACGAGGTTGTCTTCAGCAGCAGTTGTACGTTTGAAACACACTAAAGGATTGACACAGGTCAGACCGCCTGGGAGTGTCATCCATCTGAACAAATATTCAGCCAAGCACCAGTCACGTATGCACAAGAAAGCTCAGTGAACGAGTCACTGCTAACCCAGGATGTGAGCGATGAATGTGCTTGAGGATTACCAAGCAATTCAGAGAAGTGAGTCAATTAAAATCCAACAGAACCCTTATTCCCAGAGCCATTCTGTGACACATAGGAGGAGTCAGATTGTACAGAGCACTCAGTGTCACGAAAGAAGGTTCTCAAACCAAGGAGACGGTAGTCCAAAAACCAAAGTGGAGAAAACTTCAGCTAGATTTCATATCAGATAACGAAATCTAGGAGAAAAATACTCTAAAAATCTTTTAATATACAAATTAGCAACTAATTAAGAATCGACAAAATTTCCCAGGGAAAGGGTGACATCGCCAAGATAGTCAAGTGGTCTGGGAATACTGAACTGATTCTGGGAGTATGCAAAATTTTGTAAGAAATTAAAGTTTGCAATAGATTTGTAAAGATGTGAGTAAACCGTGTTGCTAAAAAAGTCTAGTGAGCTGAAGTTCTGCTTGTCCTTATGCAGCTGTAGGCACCTGTTTAGGTCTGCGCTCCGCGGCACTTGGGCTGAAGTCTTAGCCCAACTCAGAGTCTCTCCCAGCAGCTCCTTCCACACAGCTCATCCCCACGCATCCTCTCTCCTCACTGACATAGTGCGCTCTGTCCTGGCCCGCGGGTGACACAAGATCCCTCACCCCGTGCTTGGTTGCTCCAGTGTGCCGTGGCCCTGGCTTGGCGAGGTCATGGGGGGGAAGTACCAATGACACTGATGTCCACCACTGTGTCAGCGCCAGCCCCGTCACTGTGGGGACAGTTACAGACCAGAGGCACGGGTAGCTCAGCACTTCCAGGCCACAGAACACTCCTTGAATTTCTCCATGAAGCCTCTGAGTTGGGCTAAGTGGGGGCGGGAGTTCTTCGTCCCATGACCACATCCAGTACCTTGACTGGGTGAGTCCTGAGCTCTGCACCCAGTCAGCTCCCCGCCAGTGCTTTCTCCTTCCACAGCAGCTCTGCCGAGAGCACTCAGGCAAGCTGCACCCCCTAAGGTATCCCACACCACAGAAGCCCGCAACGTACTGCAGAATGAAAGTTCTCACAAAGGAATTGCACATGTATTCCCTTTGAAGAAACCTAAAAACTGAACTCAAGCTCAAGGGGAAATGCTTCCGAGAGAGAACTCAGCTGGCGGATGCTCTCCCAACTGCCACCGTCCCCACTCACATCCCGAGGCCCTGTGAGTGAACACAGTCTTGCCTCCCAGTGATACCTCACTGTTTTCAAACCCCCGGCCCCCCAAGCGATTCTATGGTGCAGCGAGGGTGGAAACAGTCATGTGAGGAGGAGGAACTAAAATTCAACATTCTGGTATCTTGGCTGGAGAGGCAGAGACAAGAGAAGTGTGAAGAAGGGCTCAGGGAACAAATAAGTCCAGACCCTGGAGACACACCTCGTGGGTTCTCATTTCCACCGTCACAGTCCAGGAGATGTTACTCAGTCTTTTTGTGACTCAGTTTATTCAACTCTAAGGTGGAAATGAGCTGAGGGCTTCATTCTTGGCGTGGCTACGAGGCTACTGCGGTGGACCAGAGGCCCCAGCTGGCGGCGGGCAACCGGCACTTCTGTCAAGACCAGGTAGATCCCCCTGCTGTGTTCCTGCCCCCAGGGAAATGGACAGTAAGAAGAGAACCTCTCAGTTTAATTGGCAACAGCTGATAATGATCAGGGGCTGACTGTTAGCACCAGGCTTTCCTGGCCGGGAATCCCCGGGATGTGCCTGTGGCTTCAGTAGCCTTCTGGGCTTTCTGAATTTGAAACAAGATTTTAAAGCCAAATTGCCGTCTGCTTCCCATCAACAATTGTGTTCAGGTCTGTTAACCTTTTTGGGGGTTCATTTATGTAGCATTCTATTTCTTCCTTCCCCCCTGCACCCCGCCTCCCGTGCGCCCTGGTCCCTCCCCTCCCCCGTACCTGGGGGCCCTCCGGGTGCCCATTCATTGCCCAGGAGCTTTTTAAAAGAGGCTGATCAAGGCACCCGCCCAGGAAATACCCTGGCTTGTCCGTTTGTTTTTGTTTGTTTCTGTTGTTTGTGTTTGTTTTGTTTTGTTTGTTTTTGTTTGTGTTTTTTTGTGTTTGTTTTTGTTTGTTTGATTTGTTTGTTTATGCTAGTTTTTGTTAGTTTTTGTTTTTGCTTGTTTTTGTGAGTGTTTGTGTGTTTTTGTTCTGTTTGTTTCTGTTTGCTTTGTTTTTTTTAGTTTTTGTTAGTTTCTGTTTGTTTTTGTTAGTGTTTGTTTTTGTTAATTTTTGTTAGTGTTTGTTTTTGGTTTTGTTTTTGCGAGTGTTTGTGTTTGTTTCTGTTTGTTTGTTTTCATTACTTTGTTTTTATTAGTTTTTGTTAGTTTTTGTTTGTGTTTTTGTTTGTTTATGTTTGTTTTCGCTTGTTTGTTTTTGTACATTTGTTTTTGTTTGTTTGTTTTGTGGGAACCCTCCCCCCCGCCACCCCCCCCCCCCCCCGAGGCAGGAAAACTAACCTGCATTGCAGAGGCTGTGGGCTTCGCCACGGGGGAGGCCCCATCAGATTTCCTGTTGAAAGACAGCATAAGCAACTGTGCTTTAATTCTGAAACTTTTTGTGTGATATAAATGAGCAAAGTAAATAAGTATGTGTGGGAGAGACGGTGTCTCACTCCAGAATTACAAGGCCCGGCGTGGAAGGGAGCAGCAGCCCACACCCGGGCCCTGAGTGCAGGCTTTGGCTATGGCCCGAACAATGATCTGATCATGTCCCCCGCTTTTCTAATGACTGTTGGTCTCCAGAATGGAGCACCCATGGCCTTGATCATTGATTTCTGCAGAATGAAAGCAGCAAAACCCAAACAGGTGCCCACTAGGGACAAAGGTACGGACATTCTAGTCACGAAGGACACCCCATCTTCAGCTCCTGACCCTCATGACACTACTCAGAACGTTTACCATGACAAATATCATCACAAAAATTACATGTCTTAGTAGTGGGCAAAAGCATCTGCAAGAAATGATAAACACATTCTGATTAAAAAAACAATGGGCACACACATGTCACGTATGGTACATTTGATCTTTATTCGTCTTTTGGGAAGGATAAGGTAACTTTCCCAAATCACTCAAAATCATATTCCCTCTTGCCAGATTTCACTAGGTTAATTTTATCGCAGGATTCAACCCCTACATCTAGTCCTAGATAGCCCTCCCTCCACCCACATTCCCTTCTTCAGAGAAAACGAGGGGCTACAGGCAATGCCTGCTATCAGAGAACTTAGAAGTATGCCAAGAAAGCCACTCCCGGAAAACACAGCGGGCAGGTGCCCCACCCCCAAGAGTGTCCCCATCAGAGGTGCTGAGGGTATGTGATCCCTGCAGGAAAGGGCCACAGCTACCACTAGTCATACCCTGGGGCCTTGCTTCAGGGATCCCTGGTGCTTCTCACCCTCCCCCCACCACCCACTCTGCTCTGGCATCTCTAAGGAGACTAAATCCTATCAGGAACTGAACTCCCACGGCGCCATCCAGAAACCACTATGGATCTCTTTCTCAACAGGTCCTCTCAGAAGGTTCAGAAGGTAGAAATGCTTTGTGCCCCTTGGGGGACCTCAGCTGTACCGTATCATTTTGGTCACACACTGCTAATTGAAAGAAACGTACATGCTACATTAAACAGTGTTGTGAGTTCACAGAGAACAGGCGCAGGAGAAGGCACCCCATCGTGACTCCATGCACTGGCTCCTGAGGCTCCAGTCCTTCCAGGATGGAGCGCGCTGCCTCCTGCCCGGGGGCACGCCCAACTTGCTAGGTCCAGGTGTCGTTCACGGGCGCCGGGAGGCTCTCCTGCTCCCGCCTTGCACTCCATGCCGCGGGAGAGCGACTCGTTGGATGCAGAACAGCTTTCCATTGGGGACAGCTGAGTAGCTTTGCAGCAAAACTCATCCAAAGACAAGAATGAGTGTGCTGTGTGGGCCACCTGCGCCCAGGCCAGGGCTCTGCCCTTTCTTCCCCTGCCACAGTTGGAGGATCAGGTGCGACCAAAACTAGGGAACCCCGTGCCAGGAGTGGGATTCCACTGGGCCCCTGCACCTGGCCCACACGGAGCTGGGGAGTGCTTGGGAATCTCATTGCTGCTGGGCAGGGGTAGGAACATTCCCGGGTCATGTCCAAGGTGCTGAGGGTGAGGAGTACTGGGTCTGGGTGGCTCTGCCGGGTTGGGCCTCCCCTGGGACACGCAGGATGCTGGGTGTTCATGTGCTCTTGTCACCTCGGCCTGGACGAACGGAGATGGGAGTCGGTGTCTAGAAGGCAAGCAGGACCCTCTGGGCCTTCCTGTTCTTCCCCTTGGTGACTCTGGTTCTCTCTCCCATGCCAGGGGCTCTGCCCACGGGTGCTGGCCCTTGAGCAGCATGTGCCCAGGCTGAAGGCTGCGGCTGGCCAGTGTCGCGCTGGGCAGGACCCGCTCTGGTCCCCGCGGGCTGTCTGGGCCGGTGGATCACGACCGCGTCGGCGGGCAGGGCACGGTCCACCTCCCTGAGCTTGAGGGAAGGCTTGGGTCGCTCGTGCTCCTGATGCTTTCTCCACTGGTCCAAGGTGACCGGCCGGGTCGGGGTCTCTCGCGCAGGCTCCTGGGGCTTGGGGACAGCAGGAGGCTGGTCTCCGACAAGCTCCCGATGGGCCGGAGGGAGCAGGTCCACACCTGTGGTGGTCAGCGTTGGGGGTGGTCCGCCAGGGGAGTCCTGCTCACTGGCCCTGTCCAGTTCCTTCTTCTGCATGTAAAAGAGCACGTAGGCCTGTTGGCTCAGGGCAGAGGAGACACTGCAGGAGGTGACCTGAGAGTCGTCCATGCGATACCACCGGTCCTTCCCAGGGCTCACGTAGCAGAAGTAGTGTCCCTGGTGACACCCCCAGCCTGCGTGGACCAGCACTGCATAGAGTTCGTACTCCAGGGCCCCCGCCTTCTGCTCGGACAGCAAGGCCTGCAGGTCCAGGCGCTGTGGGTAGCGCACGGGCTTGGCCACCTTGCCGCCTGTGGGGCCGCCGAAGCGCTTGAGCATGAGGATGAGGACCTGGGGAGGGGCGTGCAGAGCCAGCGTCTTGGCGGCGGGGCCCCTGTCGCCACAGGCAGCGCAGTGGTACGCGTCGGGCCCGTCCAGGCTTTCCGGCTTCACCAAGTCCTGCAGAGCCTGCTCCACGCTGTCGGCGGCCTGGATGTCCAGGGCGATGTCCAGGTAGGGCTCCAGCGTGGTGGAGACTCCGCAGCAGCGCACGCACTGGATCTGGGACCTCCAGTAGCCCCCGAAGAGCCGCCGCACCAGGGTGCTGTCCTGGGGCTGTGGGTGCGCGGCCGCGAGCTCGCTCACACACCCGCCCTGCATGGCGCCCACGGTGGCCATCAGGAACTCGTGGGCATCTTCCTGGCGCCAGGCATGGAAGCCGGCGAGCAGCTCCTTCACGGGCGACACCACCTCCCCGGGGTGCAGGAGGGCGCGGGAGACGTGCGCCCGCATGGCGCAGAGCGTGCAGGACAGCCGCCGGGGGCAGGAGGGCGCGCGCGGCCGGGACAGCAGGTAGCCGGCCAGCGGGGGCGTGTAGGTCAGGCACTGCAGGGCCGCGTTGGCGTAGCAGGTGTTCCCCAGGTTGCGCAGCCCGGCCCCCACCTGGCCGGGCCCCAGCCGGCGCCCGAGGCGGCCCTGGCAGCCGGTCGTCTCCGCAGGCCCCGGGGCCATGCCGCGCGCGCCTGGCCGGAGGGACGAGCGTCTGTCGCGGGGGGAGGCAGGTCAGCGCTCCCGGGCCACGCACCTGGTCCAGAGGCTGCGAGCGCGTCCAGTCCTGAGGCCGAAGCTCCGAGTCGGGGCGAGGTCCGGAGTCTTCCCTGCCGGGGTCTGGACGAGCCGCTGGACGATGCGCGCGTCGGGACCGCTGGCTCCGAATGACCTGCAGGCCCGGCCCGCGCCCTTTTATAGCCCCTGGCCCCGCCCCGCGCCGAGGCCCCGCCCCCGCCCCCCACCGGTCACCGGCCTGCTGGGCAGCGCTGGGCGTGGCCCTTCCGGGCTGGCATCTCCCCCGGGAGTCCGGCGCCTGGTGACCCCTCCCGGCCTCCCGTCTGCCGGGCCTCGACCTGGCACAGGAGCGGCCTAACGAGGCACTTCGCGCCTCAGCTGCCCACGGGTGGAACTGGACAGCAAACAGGCCCCCTCCGACCCCTCAGCGTCATGGGCTTGGGACCCGAATAGGGCTGGGGACGACAAACAGCGGCTTGGACCCTCCACTGGCGTCACCCCACCTGCCCCCGCATGTTAGAGCAGCATCAGCACGAGCTGGCAGGGACAGGAGAGAGTCAGAGAAGCCCGGAGGTGGCTCTGGACACCTGTGGGGCTGGGGTGACTCCTCTGGTCGGGGCACAAAGGGCAGGAGCAGACTCTCGGGGAGCTGCAGGAGGCCCCGCTGCACTCAGGAGCAGCCCGCGGGATGGACACAGGCGGCTACATCATTAATTCCCCAGGATTCGGGATTTAAAAAAAATCCTTATGGGAAGCTGCACAGCTCAAGACAGACGTGACGAGGTTTCCCTGATCGGGTCCCACCGAGCCGAGGGCCAGGCCTGGGCCTGCGAGGTGGGAAGATGCAGAACGGGTGTTGGGGAACAGAGCCCCTCGGGGCCCGCCATCCTCACAGTGGGGCGGGCGCTGGCGGGACAGACAGGATCCACTCAGTGTCCACCGCGGCCCCGGGAGGCCCCTGCAGCCGGAGGTGCTGGGTGTGGCCACATGGCCCGGGGACACCTGGAGCCACAACCCCCGCCCCAGGGTGAGGGGCAGTGATTGAGGGAGGGAGGCCCAGCGCTCCCTGGAGAGGCCCCAGGGCGTGACCTCTGGCACCTGCTTCCGGGACTGGCCCCAGGGATCTCGCCCTCAGAACCCGGATGTGGCTGGGGGGGTGTGGGGGGCTGTGCTGCCGCCATTCCGTGAAGGACTCGGGTTAGGGGGGAGCTGTGGCCCGGGCTGTCCCCCGTGGGCGCTGGCAGGAAAGCAGGGGGTGGGCAGGCGGCCCTTGGGTCCACACCGCTGGCAGTGGGTCACTTTGATTTCTCGAGGCTTCAGAAAATGAACGACCCTAACTCCGTGAAATCTGGCCGAGGCCCCGCGTCCTCTCGGGCTTCCCTTGGGGAAGCAGCGTCGGCTCTGCCCGGGCCCCACTGCAGCCCCCGCCCCTGGACCCGCGCGCGCTCAGGAATTCGGAGCGTGTCCCCCTCACCCCGGGGCTCCGGGCTGTGCCCGGGTGCGCCCGTCCCTGCAGGCGCCTCATGACCGTCGGGGGGC